AGCGCGGGGGGGGGGGGCTAGGTGAACTGCGATGTGAAATGCTCCCCCAGCGTTCCAGGCGTCGGTGAAGGCTGTTTGTTAGCGTGCCGTCTGCTTCGCAGATTGTTTCACTAAGGCACTGTCTTTTGGGGTCCGTAGCACGGACGAGTTGGAACAGTTACCGGGTGTTTCCACACCCGTCCATCTCCTTTGCACGTAACGTCCACCAGGCTTCTCGGTCATCTATCAAACTCTTTGCTAGTTCATGCTTCAGAGAGAGGCGCTGTTCATTATACTCGCGGCTTGATGAGATTGCCTGGCGCGCGTCATGAGGTGTGAGGTAGTTGGAAGAGACCCAGTGATTTACAACTCGGCGGGTTTGGCCACAACTGTGTGAACTAGTTGAGTACATTGCGTTTTAAATAGTTATCCAGTGTTGATCTACGCTTGGTGAGGTAGTTAGCCTCGCGGCCAACTCGTTTTGGTAATCGGCTAGCACTGCCGGGTCAGAGAGCTTGGCAACGTCAAGCTGTTTGCATTTCATCTTTTTGGGGCCACCAAATCGCGTTGACAACTTGGCACATACCAGTGCGTGGCCGGAGTCCAAACAGGTAGACCAATACGAACGGCAGTTTTTCACACATCCTTTCCATCTATAGCTGATAGCTATATACCCAATCTGACTCCACATCTGTGCCGAAGAGGGGTTACACCAAGTGGCGAGGTGATGTTTGGGTGTCTGAAGTTCGTGCTAGCGAGGAACAGACCGTGTTCCGAGCATACGCTAAGAAGTCTATCCCAAGTATCTGAACAACGGTTATCGGGACCATAATGGCCACCAAGGTGGGTTTCTTCGGATAACAGACGACCAACACGCGCGTTTAAGTCCCCGGCCAGGACCGTGATATTCATTTGAGAAGAAGCTCATGTAGGTTGTGATAGAAGGTGTTCTTGACTGTATCTGGACTACAGTCTGTGGGGGCGTATGAAGAAACCGCGAATAAACACCGTTTAGTTGGTTTCTGCTTTTTGACTTTGCTTAAGCTTCTGAGTCTCACTGCGCATAGTCGACTATCTATCGGGATCCAATCCAATAGACCAGCCTCAGCCCTGGCGCTTAAGGCAATATGAACGCCTGCTTGACCAGATACTGATGCAATAGGATCTCCGGAAACACGCAGTTAAACGTTTCTTTCGGATTGGAAGGAGATGTTAATCGGATCGCCGAGCTCGGATCCTGTTTCCAAGAGGCAACACACATCAATATCTAGACTTTTGAGCGTGCAAGCCAAACATGCTTGTCCTATACGCACTAGGGTTCTAACGTCGAACAAAGTCAGTTTGAACGCAGAGTTAGGTCCGAGGAATGGACAATCGGCTCTGAATGACAAGGCATTGCTGAGACAGATGTCAAGGAGGATAGCGGCGAGTTACAACAGGAACCTTCGTCAGTGGAACCGTTCGAGATGGGACATACAGTGGAAAACTGGGGGTGTTGTGTGGAGGGCGGGTGGAAGTGTTGCGTGCAGATTTTGAGAAAAGAGGGTTTTACGTGAGTGTACAAGTCTGAGATGTGTGAATGAGCAAGTCTATAAGCCCATGGCTAGATTGTGGGCGTGTTATTACCCGGTTGCCCAGGCCGAAGTAGAGAGAGCTTCTACTGGGCTCAAACGAAATCAAGAAGGTATAGCTTTTCGGGACCAGCTTATATTCCCTTCAATTAATAATCAAATTGGTTACTCGATGATCCCAGTGAGCATACTTCGATCTACCATTCCCATTGTGTAGTCTTCATACCTGGCCTTTACCTGTTACCAATATTGCTAGTTTGCACAGTTATTGTGGGTTTCCAATGATGCCTTTAGAATTGATGACCTATAGTGCTTCTTATGTCATCTATGTATACTTTAAATTCATTATTTATGTATGTTCCTCGCTGAGTAACATTATATGTCAAATTGTTTAATGTTTCTTCATTTACTCTTCTTGGGGTCACCTTTACTACGCAAATGCACAGAGACTACATCGGACTCAAACAATCGGGATGAACCACGATATCAGTATGAGACATTTAAGAGCAAATAACATCGTTGGAGTTTAAACACTGCTCGAAAAGCGGATAAGGGCCATGAGTCTTGCACATAGCACAAAATTATGGCAAAGATAACCATTCTGCCAAATCCTACCACCCGTGACATATCTTCAACGCTTAATGTTGGCAAAATTAAGTGTTTATCCAGTGGAGATTGTGCCACCATGGGCAATGACGATTAACCCTGATGCTCTTTTCCGTTAAAGAGGGAAAGAGTTTAACTGAACCGCTTGTTTATCCCGGAATGCAGTCCCCTTCAGAGCACAAAACATTCGGCTTAATGAATCGTGAAGATCTTTTTCCTTGAAAAATCACTGAAAACTTTGCCAGTGGGTTAATTAGAAGATCTTATTCCCTTTGTTAGGCTTATCATCGCAAAAACGCTGACACGGTGTTTGTCGTAGTGCTGCTAATATAAACATTTGTGTATCTCAAGAAACACCAACACATCAGTTCATTGCCCTAGAAAATGTTCATTGGTTGAATTTCTTTGCACATGTATTTCACATCTCAATAAATACCCGTTTTTCAGAAGCCGTTAGGCATTTTCTTACTCGATAGACTGATCATAACTATCATTGAACATGGGCATATGTTATCATGCACTTTGCATTTCAGATTTTTCTGTTCACCTTGTTGACCAACTTTGGTTCACTGACTTGTGCGATTGTTACGACTACACGAAAATTCTTTACTGTCCTCGCCTCCATAATAATCTTTGGCCACATAATGACGCAGCAACAATGGCTAGGAACGATACTTGTCTTCAGTGGTATAATTTTGGATCAGTACTACAGCAAATCGAAGGTGGTCGACAAGGAAAAAGCGCCGGATGGTTCTGTAAAACAGAAACCTGTATTGACTTCCGTGCAAAAAGAAAACAAAAGAAAATGAACTCGTACATTCCAGTACAGCACCACGTGTACTATGTTCCACTTCTCTATTCCATGCTACTTGCTACTACCATGTAAAGTTTTGTTTGTAATGTTCCTGACTGATAATAAACTTACCAAAGAACCACTGTCGTGATTTTAACAGCTGTCCATCATATGTAAACCCAACGGCTTGAATACTAAGCCTCCGTTGATTCACAACCCAGGTTTTCTACGATCCCAGCAAAAACAAAATTTCATTTAATGGCTTTGCAAACAGAGCGCAACAAATCTGCGGTGGAGATACCATTCTAAAAGAAGGAAATATGCATAAAATAATTCAAGAAAATAGGTACCTGGATCGGTTTTGAGGCGGAATTTCGAAGCACCAGACAAATGAGTGGATACTGGATCATGGACCATGTTAATAAAATGAACTCATTGATTCTTTCACTCGCTTTTCATTGAACAAATAATTCTATAAGCGATTTTTCAGAAGGAAAAAAGCGGTTAATGCGGCAAAAGAAAGGGTGAATTTGGCGTGCTGTGGGGGGGGGGGCTCAATCCATCTTCGGGGCCGATATGATTTTGAGTAACACTGCCGTTTGTTAAACAAAAAGTAGAATGCAGAAAAACCTTTGCAAGTCGAAATAAATGTAACAAAATTTTCAATTTAAAATTGTGCCAACTTCTCCATTGGGACCTTTTGAAGTGCTGCGTGGTTGCTTCTTATTGTTCTTGTGCTATGTTGAACAACACGCAAACTAGCGACCAATACTTGTTTTCGGTCATTCCTCTTCTCTGGCTAGACAATCTTCTCAACCAGGTAAAAATCGGGTAGTAATCGCAGACACAAAGCAAAACAACTTGAAAAGTAGTTTACTGTTCTATGTTTAGTGTCTAGACCGACCTTAGAAAACACCCTCTGTTACAGAAACGAGAATAGTCTCAAAATCAAGTTCGGAGTGCCTTCCACACCGGTCCGCGCAGTCTTTATATATGCCTGTAGAATCTGGTCATTGATACCTAAGAATATAATAAGCATTTGATCATTGGTGCCTCATATCTTGACAGAAAACTGACGTGACAGACTCTCGTATAAGGCAATTTTAAATGGCTGCCGCATTGTCCATCTCAGCTTGTATTTACCATAATTAGCAAGGATTTGAACGCATCCTCCCCAAACCTGATCTCGCTTTGAAAAACTTTGTCCTATCATCGTCTCTTTGCCTATGCTTGCACCTTCGGCAAGGGGATAAATAAAACCCGGGTGGGACACTGAAAACGTCAACCAACTTAACTTTCGGCTGGTGTACGGCATTCTTTGGTGGAAAATCAAGATCCACAGTGACCTTGCCACACGGCATAAACATTTTTGATTGTGGATACCCATGCAGCTGGCTTATCCCCCTCAAGGAGCCTGTAAGGCTAAACTGGAAAGGATGAATGTAAAACAGGGTTGACGGGAGACAGGGCCCCCACAAACTGCTTTTTCTACACACACTATGAATTTACTGTGTTTGTACTGTGGTCCGTACGCGATGTTTAATCCACATAGACTACTGTTTGCCCTAGTAGAAAGGGGAAACACCCTAGGCAAGTCCATTAATTTACCTGGCTTAAGAAAACATGGAAAGATTGAAGTTAAATTTGTCGTTGTGACTCCAGTGTTCGAAATCACCGGTTCAACTATGTGCTTATGAAAAAAAGACACGCTACCCCACAGAAACAGGTGAAGTTTGCTTCACTGTATTACACTGTAGGATGATGATGAAAGAATAAATACAAAATGAGATCGCAGAAACAGTTTTTGTCTTGGAGTTTTGGCCTCATGGCTAACCTGGACGCAATGGTGACAGTTTAGTAGCAAGAAGTGCCTGACTAGTCGCAGCTGTAGGCGTTTCAGTAGCTGTTATCGTTATAGTGTTACCGTTAAACTGCGGTCTGATGTAAAACGGATTCTCTTTTGTTCCAGTATTTTCACCCTCATTTCTCAGTATACAGTCCAGAAATCGATCCGGTTATTCGTTTTATTGAAAGACCCTCTATATGAGACATAATTCTTTTTGAATTGTATCATTCGGGAATATTTTCTGCAATCTGTTGGCGAGGTGTTTAAATTTTATCCTCAGTTGAGTCTTACAAAACTCAGGAAGCTATTGTGTATTACATGGCCTTCCAGCCACTTTGTTTTTACGCCCTCATCCTAATTTCCATCACATCTATTATAGAAATCAAACAGGATACTTTCTTTAGTTTTCAAGTTCTATTCGTTTGGTGTATGCGGTTGTTATATTCCTTCATTGTAGTTATATAAAATTATAATGTTTTATCTAGAGAAGTCAAGTAACTGGAGTCAAATCCTGCTCACTATGTGGTGTTTTATTCACGTCTGTTGATGGTGTAATCAAAAGATAGATAAATTTACTGAATTTCAACTTTTGGTTTATAGGTTATAGGTAAAACCTCTACCCTTGAATGGGTGAATCTTCTTCTGATGTGACCTAGATAGAAACCGAATATTGATAGTCCGCGAAACAGTTAAAAACTAACCTGATAAACCCAGTTTGATGGTCCATTTGATTACACAGTTTGACGTTAAATGGATTTCTCACACTAAACTTATTTGTGGTCTATCTACTTTTACTGAAACGTCCAATAGAGTTTATACANTACAACCGTCGCCCTTGCACTTTCATGCGGCTGCTTTGGTTGCCGTATTTCACGTTTTCACTATCAAAGGACAGTCATCTTAATGTTGCTATATATTGCAACAAAATCGTCAAAAACAGCTAACTACATTAGTTTATATATGATGAGATTACCCTCGGAGAAAGGTTGAGGTCAAAAATATTTACTCAGTTCAGTTCTTACAACCACTAACCATGCACTTTCGTGAGCCGGTTTTGGTTACCCATTTGGACGGAACAGCAGAATGATCATTAGAATTTTGAGAGCAGATTCAAGCGGAAGGTAGCTTACAAGAATAACGAGTAGATGCTCCACTGTTTGTGACACCCAGCCATATCGCCCAGTGTCCAACCACCGGTGACTATGACCTCTGGGTCCGCAGCCAGGGAGCCTAACGGGACCTATGTGAGCCAGTTTCCTGGTCAGGATTTCATACCCTTGTACCCGGTCTTAGCTTGACCGCCCTTCATTTTTTCCAACCGCTACCTGCCTCGCCAAGCATCGCTAGCCGTGGCAACCTATCTGGTGACATGCTTAGCACATGTCCCAACCAATGTAATCTATGGAGGTCGACTACCTGTTCCAGTGGACGACCGCGATTACCTACAACTCTACGCCTAACCTCAGCATTGCTCGTCCGGTTTCCCCACCAGACTCGTGTAATGCTACGTGGACAGCAGTGTTCAAACACTGACAATCTATTTTTATCCTGTTCCCGTAATGGCTAAGTATCTGCGCCGTATGGCAGATTTGGCCGAACTGGCGCAGCATACAATCGACCCTTCACAGACAACCGGATGTCGCGACGGTACCACAGATGTTTTATGTTGGCAGATGCCAAACGAGCTTTCTGTATGCGAGGAGACACTTCATCTGCGATGCATCCGCCAGGTGAGATATAGCTGCCCAGGTAGCAAAACTTGTCTACTTTCTCTACAACTTCCCCGGTCAGGGTGAGGCTGGGGACTGGGCCAACCTATTAATGGAGCAGCATATTGACAAGGCATCAAGCAATCGATGTTTGCGTTGTCAACCAGTAGGTCACCTGAAATAATCCGGTTTATTTAGTCTTGATTTAAAATTGAAACTGTTGGAACGAAGATCAATGCCATTCGTCCCAAGATAAACCCGGCTGCATACTCGCTGACACTGTGAACAAAATCAAACAACTTCACAACACATTCAACCCAATTTAGGGTCATCGCGGATCAATAGTAATCTCGTGGAAATAAATCAATAATATTGCGTAGTACGGCAATATTCACTCTCTCCGTTCGTCTGATCCGCAGCCTATGGCCAGTTAAACATTGCCCATTGTGTATTTCATTGGTAAATTAGTTTTCTTGCATTGCTCGATGTTATTTTCAGTCACATATAATCAGCAGAGTAAAACTTGTAAATTGACATATGACTCGTGCTCAACGTCTGTTGTCTGTCCGAAGTCCGACTATCTAACTGTGGCACCAAACTAATCAACGTACCACATAGCAACGCAACCTGCCGGTTATACCACAGCTGCCCAACTGACAACTCCGGTTTGCACGGGGTAGAAATCGCTGTGACCGACCGGGCCAACAACTTCTACAACCAAGTTCAAGACGCAGTGAACCGCAGTCCGAGACGCGACATCCTCGTTATCGCAGGGGACTGGAACGCACGCACTGGTCCGTCAGACGAACATACTCGGCATGTTCTTGGAAAGTTCGGCCTTGGTCAACGTTGCGAAAATGGCGAACGCCTAGTCACATTTGCTGACCTTAACCGACTGCTCGTGACCAACACCCGTTTCCAGCACCCCAGAAGACACCTGCTCACGTGGTACTCAAATGATGGTCGAAAGGCACACCAGATTGATTGTATTTTGGTATGTTCTCGGTGGGCCTCCGGTAGAAGACTGCCGTTCCTATTGCGGCGCAGAAACTGGAAACAGGAACGGTACAGACCATACCCTTGTACGCGCCCGCTTCAAGATCCACCTGACTACTCGCCGGAAGACTCGTCTCCCAAGCAAATTCAACGTCGTGCTCTTGAAACGACCTGAGAGAAGGTAAACGATGCTAGACGCAACCGCTTCCAACATAGCCTAAACTTTCTTTGATGACTCAACTGTCGACGCACAGTGGTCTACACTGAAAACGTCCCTCAGAGATTCAGCGCTGGAGCAGTTAGGTGAGATTCTTCGCCGCAAGAGAGACTGGATCTCCAAGCGTACACTGTAAGTGTCCGCGAAGGCAAGAGATGCGCGGCTGATCAATTCTCCTGAATTTCGTATTCTCCGTGGCCAAGCCACACGTTCCGCCAAGAGTGACCGTAAACAATACTGGAAAGCG